CAATAATACCATAATAATTTTTGTATGATGACAGATGGTAACTAACCTCATTATATTGATGTCATAATGTATGTAAATGTTTAATCACTTTGTTGTACACCTGAAATTCAAATTATATCATATGCTAACTGTATGTCAATTTTAAAAAATCTTTTAAAAAAAGCAGAGTGCCACAAAACTTAAAAACTTGACAGTAAGGATGCCACGTACTGAAGCACTCCACTTTCAGAATTTCTAGATCGTGATGCTCACTTAGCCATCCAAGTCTCTAAGTTTCAAGACAGAGGCTGAGTCACCATACCCACAGTGCCTATCTTTAAAATGTTTCTTGATGGGCGCCTGGGTGGCTCAGTCGGTTAAGCGTCCGACTTCGGCTCAGGTCACGATCTCACGGTTCGTGGGTTCGAGCCCCGCATCAGGCTGTGCTGACAGCTCAGAGCCTGGAGCCTGTTTCAGATTCTGTATCTCCCTCTCTCTCTGACCCTCCCCTGCTCACTCTCTCTCTCTCAGAAATAAGTAAAATATTAAAAAAAATAATAATAATAAAATAAAATAAAATGTTTCTTGACTTAAGTGTGCCTTTAAATTTTCCAGATAATTATGGTTGGTTTGATATTAATCAAAGAAGAGTCTTTGGACCATGGCAGCAAAATCAGTGCTACCAAAGAGGTAGCACTTCAATGGCAAAACACAACTACACTTTTAATCCAAAAACTGTCAAGAAAAAAAGTAAAAAACCATAGATACTGGATAGTAACAATGAACAGAAGGCACCGGAAATGTTAACACCATGAAATGTCGGGGCTCAAAGGCCAAAAGCAAGCAAAGATTAACATGAATTTATGGATTCCCTAATGCTTCATAGGGGAACAAAACAATGGTATCATCAAAACTGATGGTCCTGTTGCTACTGACCACATCCCTCTATTGTTTTTCACCTAAGAAATTACAAACCTTTCCTTTGTAATTATGAACCTAAGATATCTCTTTACATTAGTTATATTTCAAGATATCATTATATATCATGAATTTTTAATATTAAGCATTTGTTAAAATTAAAAGAATTGTAGCAAAAAGTTGTTAATGGCCACTTCATTCTGGCATAATGGCATAAATGCCACTGATATTACCATACTATTATGTCTCTGTATCTTGTCCCCAGATCTCAAGGAGTTGTGAAACGTGCAAAATATCCTGCAGAAGCAAGTGTAAAGCTCAGTGAATACTGTGGTCCTGCAATCAGCCTGAAAAAAATCACTATTCCATGTACACTACAACCAAATGGAAATTGGATCATTTCAAATGATTCAGAATTCTTCCTAAATCAAAGAGAGCATCAGTAGGGTTCAGTCCAGAGACCAAATCCACATAGTAATTTGAACAAGGAAACCTTAATATAAAGACTATTAGGGGCGCCTGGGTGGCTTAGTTGGTTAGGCGTCCGACTTTCGCTTGGGTCATGATCTCACGGTTCATGGGTTCGAGCCCCGCATCAGGCTCTGTGCTGGCTGCCGGCTCAGAGCCTGGAGCCTGTTTCAGTCTGTGACTCCCTCTCTCTCTGACCCTCCCCTGCTCGCACTGTCTCTCTCTCTCTCCTAGAAATAAATAAAACATTAAAAAAAAAAAATAGACTATTAAACAACAGTTAACTTATTAAAACTCTGAAGAAAACCCCAGGGTAAAGTATCCAAGGAAGGAACAACCTGGAAGGGGCACCCCTCTCCAAAGCTGGGACTGGGATCTTCCTAGAGAAGATGTGGTTGCAGCCACTGAATGGGGGAGAAGTTAGCTGGGTACCTTGGGCCACAGGTGGTCCACAGTTGCCAGGAAAGCAAGAAAGACCTCTCCAGGGTACACACGGGACAAGATGGGGAGACAAGCAACACGGGAGAGTCACAATGCCAGGAGCCCACTTACAAGCAAGGTAACACAAGGCCTGGGGTACACAATGTCTGTGTTGGGAAGGCCAAGAGAAACAACCTTCTGGGGTAAAGGCAAGCCAAGGCTGGCAGATAGGCATGTAGGGAGGGGGGAACAGGGGCCTGCTCACCTGCAAAACAACAAGGTCCGGGGTTCACAGTGCCCCCAGGGAGTCAGAGAGTCAGAAGCCCACTCTCCCAAAGGCCCGGGGTGCCATGAGATACTCAGCTAAGTGGCCACCCAAGTGGCTGGGGATGCACGCTTGTCAGCAGACTACGCTTTAGGTGCATGACTGAGGCAAATGTCTCTGGCAACAGTGCAGGAGGAACAAAAAGAAAAACAAAATCCACAGCACACTGGAAGGTGGAAGAGAAGCCCCTTACCCTCCTTCAGTGCCCCTTCCAGCATCCTCTACTGTGAACAGCATACTCACTGTAAAGGAAAAATTCTTAGAGTCCAATCCATTTATGTATAAGAGAAAATGAAAGAAGGAACTTGAAGCTAAGAGGCAATAAATGGACAACTGGCATGGCTTCTTAGAATTACCAACGGAAAAGCCCTAGGAATTCCAGACTTATCTTGAAAGGCAGCAATTTCCCCAATGTCAATGAGAAATACAGCTGGTATCAGAATATACTTTACAAAGCCACTGCACAAAAATCAACATGATACAGACATAGGTATTACTATAAGAATAAACAAACGCCACAAAAGAAAAAAACTTTTAATTAGTGGCAATGCATGTAAAAAGTTAATGTGTGATGAAAATGGTATCCATTTCATTGGGAAAAATATGCGTTATTTAATACATATCTTAGATGTCTATCCATCTGAAAGAAACATAAAATGGAGTATCATCTGACATCCCATTCAAATATAAATTCCACATGGATATTAAAGAGAATTTTTTTAAGTTCTAAGAATCAACTTACAAGCAAATGGAGGAATTGGGAGACATTTCCAATCAAAACCAGAAACCCAAAATCTCAGGGGATGGAGGGAGCAGGAATAGAACTGAACATCTAAAAATTTGTTTCCATGGAATACTACATGGCAAGGAGAAACGATGAAATCTGGCCATGTGTAGCACCATGGATGGACCTTGAGGGTGTTATGCTGAGCGAAATAAGTCAGGCAAAGAAGGACAGATACCATATGTTTGCACGTATAGGAGGATTAGGAGGAACTTGACGGAGGAACAGGGGGGAAATGGTGGGGGAAAGGGAGAGAGGCAAACCATGAGAGACTCTTGAATGCTGACAAAAACTGAGGACTGATGGATGGAGGGGGAGGGGGGATTGGCATGGAGGAGGGCACTTGTGGGGATGAGCACTGGGTGTTATGTGGAAACTAATTTGACAATAAACTATTTGTAAAAAAAAAAATTTGTTTGGTGGGGCGCCTGGGTGGCTCAGTAGGTTGAGCGTCCAACTTCAGCTCAGGTCATGATCTCACCACTCATGGGTTTGAGCCCCACATCAGGCTCTGTGCTGACAGCTCAGACCCTGGAGCCTGCTTCAGATTCTGTGTCTCCCTCTCTGCCCCTCCCCTGCTAGCACTCTGTCTCTCTCTCTCTTTCAAAGTAAATAAACATTAAAACATTTTTTTAAATTTGTTTGGTAAAAGCTATTACAAACAATTGTAAAATATGTACCAGTGTATATAAAAGTATATATCACTCATACACATATAGATGCAGATGTGCAGATGAGTGAAGTATGTACAACATATGCAATGTGCATAAATGCATGATGTTTCCTAACTCCATCTGCTGAAAGAACACAGAAGCGACTTGCAGTGAGCACATCTACTGCCCAGATACTGGTCTCCGTGGCAGCCAGGGGCTACTCTGAAAAGGGAGTCCATACACCAATTTGAATACAGAAAGTCTAGGGGCGCCTGGGTGGCTTAGTTGGTCGCTTAGGTCGTGATCTCGCGGTTCGTGGGTTCGAGCCCCACTTCGGGCTCTGTGCTGACTGCCAGCTCAGAGCCTGCAGCCTGTTTCAGAGTCTGTCACTCCCTCTCTCTGACCCTTCCCTGCTCACGCTGTCTCTCTCTCTCTCCTAGAAATAAATAAAACATTTTTAAAAAATTTAAAAAAAATACAAAGTCTTACAAAGAATTATTAACTATTTGCACAGGATTAACTAATTACTAAGAGGAAAGAACAGAGAAGTCTAAGGAATACCCTAGGGCTGAAGGAGAGAACCAGAGGCAGTAGTTGGAAGGAGCATCTCCTTCCCCGGCTGGAGTTTACATCCCACTGGAGGCAGTGTGGCTGCCGCATGCTGAATGAGAAAAGCTGGCCGGCCTGCCCCAGCTGGAGCTGTCCTATAGCAGGAAGGCCAAAGCTGACCGACAAGAACCCGCAGGCTGGGACTGATAGGCAGGAAAGCCTCTGCTATGGTGTCGGCATGTCAAGAGCAGAAGGCAGAGGGAATCTCAGGCAGGAACTGGCAACAGAATCTGCTAGAATGCCACAAAGTATCACACACACACACACACACACACACACACACACACACACACGCTACCGGCAGCAGAGCAAGCAGGGGCAGAGTACTGGTTCTCTGTGCCTCGGTTTTCTGTTAACATTTTGCAGAGCCATGAATCTAACACATGTTACTCGATCAGTAACATACGCAGAGCACCATCCCAAAATGTCCCCAACTGGCCTGGCTGGGTGCCTCAAACCACAACCATTCACGTTATAAGGAAAGTATTAGAAAAAATATACAAAGTAAGAACTTTTTAAAATCCCCAAGTTTCAGAACTAGAAGAGCAATTCAATATCATCTCTTCTTATGTTCCCACATGTTTGTTTTTTTTATTTGCTTCACTGGCTGGAGCTGGAGCTGTTGGTATGGTGTTGTTTCACAAAAGGGAAGAGTAAATGCATTCAGAGTTAACCAGCCTATCCCACGAACATGAAACAACAACTTCAAGTGTTTGCTGAACGATGTGAATGATCTTTCCAAAGGGCTTTTCACTTTGGCAGTACAGTATTTCAGGGTTCTGCATATACACATGATTAGCCAATCATCATTTCTTAAAGTCACAATTTCAAAATCGTCACTTACCAAACACTATTCCTTTAGCAAATGGAGGAAACAATTCTGAATGTCGGAATAAGTTTTTGTGAATTTGCCATAGTTCTTTGTGTAGTTTCTTAAAGTCACTGTATCTCTTCCATACGATTATCTAAAGAGAAAGGAAAATTAAATGTGTACCTCACAGTGAAACTATGTAGATTCAGATATCTGAACAACAAATAATCTTTTCCCATCAAAGTGCTCAAAATTGTCATGCAAAGGCAAACAATATATGTTCGAACCAATACAGTTGACTGTCTGAAGCTAAATAATAATAGCTGATTTAAAAATATAAAGCAGCTGGGACATTTGGGTGGCTTAGTCAGGTTAGCATACGATTCTTTTTTTTTTTTTTTAAATGTTTTATTTATTTCTGAGAGAGAGAGAGAAACAGTGTGAGCAGGGGAGGGTCAGAGAGAGAGAGGGCGACACAGAATCTGAAGCAGGCTCCAGGCTCTGAGCTAGCTGTCAGCACATAGCCCGACACGGGGCTCGAACCCACGAACCGTGAAATCATGACCTGAGCCGAAGTTGGGTGATTCTTGACTTTGGCTCAGGTCATGATCCCAGGGGGGTGGGATCGAACCCTGTGTCAGGCTCTGCACTGGGCATGGAGCCTACTTGAGATTCTTTCTCGCTTCCTCTGCCCCTTTCCCCCGCTCACACACACACTCTCTCTCTAAAATAAAATAAAATTATACATACACACACACATCACACAGAACAGCAATTCTTTCTCTAAATTTTCTGTTTTGGTTTTTAAATTTCATTTTAAACATGCACCATTTTCTTCATACTGGAAAAATATTCAACCTGGTACAAAGAAGGTCTATAGTTTCTAAAATGTCACTTAAACTCTTCAAAAATCAATTACCATTGGCCTGAAAATGAGCTAAATGTCAAAATACATATTCCATCTCAAAAACAGCATGTTTATAAACACAAAATAGTTAATTTAGACAATTTTTAAACATCAAGTACCCACACACCATTTGCCTAAAAGGATAAATAAACTAAATAATATGGAAGAAGAAATGGTTGTGTAGCAAGTAATTAACCTGAACTTTGACATTTCATAGATCTTATTTCACAAATCCCAGTTAAAAGTAATAGTAAAAAAATTTCTTAAGGTAAGATGATGAATCCTAAACAGAATACTATTAAACCTAGTATATTTCAAAACAGAAAATAAGAGTTATCTAGATTATTAAATACATAAAGTTTACTTCCATTAACTTGAATTACTGTTTAATCTTACTCAGATTAAATTAGTAAAAAGAAAACAGATTTGACACAACTCTGATATCACTGATTCAGCCCCTCAGTGTCAACAAAATAGGGTAAAACTGAGTTTTAAATTTCATTACCTGGCATACCAGGTCTTTGCTTCTCAAAAACCTAATTGTCTCACTTCTAACAAACTCAATAGAGTGTAATACTGATAAGCAAATCTTAGGGCAAGCAGGTAATCAAGTGTGATTTAAGAGACTCTTATCAAAAAATTACTCTCTGCATACAAGAAATTCTTCACTAAACTTTATGGCACTGCCTAAAATTCTACCATGATGAGTTTCGTGTTTTTAATATAGTTATTAGTCCTAGGGGACTAGTCAGACTATAACATGAATTAATCTAAACTGCCTCCTCCCGATGCTTCCTTTTATTCATTTACTCAGCAACAAAAATAGTCATCAAAACAATTATTTTCAAGACACTATTCTGTGCTAGGCTCTCTGTTAGCACAAAGGATGAAGAAATGAGAAACACAGCACCTGCCTTCAAGGACTTCCCAGTCTAGTTGGGCAGGATAAGCCACCAAGCAACGGCATCACAAGACAGGGTGATAGATGCTGACCAGGAAGGCCAAGGGAGCTATGGAAGGAGCACCTACGGAAAAGTCTTATCCTTACACTTCCCTTGCTGGAGGGAAGTAGCGATTAGACCAATAAAAAACAGAGAGACAAGGAACTGGGGCTGCAGTTTTTAAAAGGAGAGTAAGATGTTAAATATAATTCCTATATTTGGACTTTTGCAACTGGGTAAATGGCGGTCCTACTCTCTAAAATGAAGAAAAAGGGAGAAGAAACTTTTAAGATAAAAGTTCAATTTTAGACATACCTGACACAGGTTTGGAGTTCAAGAGTGAGAATAAGCAGGGTGTATTAACCTGGGACTCGGCAGCAGAGGGGTGGCAATCACTCAAGAAAGGTTTCTCAGCACTTGTGACGTGAGGAATCTAACAACAAAATAACGGGGAACCCTGACACTGAGAGGCCAGCCATAAGTAAGGAGAGGAAACCAAGTGCCAAGTAGGTGTCTAAGAGCCTTAGTTGCGCCATGACACAGGCCACCTGGATGGAAGAAGAGGTTTTATTTTAAAATGAAAGTGATGGGGGGCACCTGGGTGGCTCAGTCGGTTAAGCGTCCGACTTCAGCTCAGGTCATGATCTCATGGTTCGTGGGTTCGAGCCCCGCGTCGGGCTCTGTGCTGACAGCTAGCTCAGAGCCTGGAGCCTGCTTCAGATTCTGTGTCTCCCTCTCTCTCTGACCCTCCCCTGCTCATGCTGTCTCTATCTCTCTCTCAAAAGTAAATAAAATATTTAAAAAAAAAAAAAATGAAAGTGATGGGACAAAAGCTGATTACAAAGAACCAAGAGTCCCAGTAAAAGAGAAGAGGAGCTAATAAACTAAGACAGCCAAACGGACACGTGAAAAGCAAACGGTCTCTGGACAGTAAGATTATAAGTGATTTCAATTTTCATATGTTTTGTTTCTCTGTGGTTTCTAATTTGATACAGAAAAATAATTCTGTCATAGGAGAAAAACAAAGCTATTTTTATATTTTTAAAAGAGATCAAATTATAATGGTACCATGTTGCCAATGGCTTAAGAAAGAAATGGGTGATGGGCTTTACATAAGGTAAATGCCATCCTCAAAGCCTTTATAAACTAGATATAAGAGCTATTCAAAAGCTGTCACTCTTAGAAACAATTAAATCTGCAGATAAAATTTCTATTCTAGTTAGGGCCATTTTTAAATAGACAGAGTAACTTAAGGAGTAAAAGTTAACAATTTAATCACAATAATGATAATAACATGGTCTATAAACTGGCAGACAGTAAGAATTCGAGCCCCCAAGGTGAGACTCTTTCCTCATCATGCCTAATTTATTCACTCACATACTCCTTATTCTCAACACTAGAGCTACAGAACCAAAATATCTGAGAGCAAATATAAACCCTCAAGAAATGAAGGAAACCAAAGCATCACAAAGTGTTACCATCTACTGCCTCCTTTTCTTCATACTCCTTTTAACCTTGGACATTTCTAGAACTCTTCCAAATGAAAAAGTGAACAAAAGTATATTTCCGTTACCTTAGCAAGTATTGATGTTTATAACTGGACTACACAAAGTCGCAAAAGATGCATACAAAAAATTATTTTCTCTAATAATTCTTTCCTATTACAAAAAAGTTGCATAACAGCTATTGCTCTATTGAACCAACCCCTGCAGAAATTTCTTATTCGCTGAAGTTACTCTGCGTAAAATTCCTCAATTAAATATTATTTCAGTGACAATCATATATAAACTACGAATTTAGTAAAAGCTTAACTTTTATTACAAACATTCCCTTAAATAATTTTTACATAAAACAAATGTTATCTTTTCAGATAAGTTCACTTAATGATAGCAAAAACCTGTAGATCTCATGAACAAAGCCATTCCGATTAAGTTTGCCCTCTCACAGAGTATTTTAAACTTCCTGGATCTTCTTTTCTTGCAACCAATATCACTACTATATTTCCTTATGGATTTTCTTTCTCCCCTTTTCAAGATGCTTTTCTTTCCTTTGACACATTTCTAAATGTTCTCAAATAGTTTTTATAAAATTATTTATGAAATGACTTAACAGATTTCTGACGTGATAACAAAGAAAGTTCTGTATCAGTTCTCCTTTCCCAATTTCACCAGTGAAATCTACTATCCATAGAGAAATAGAGCTATAGGTTACTTTTTTTTTTAAAGGTAGGGGGAGGGAGGGCACAATATCTCTAGTTCTTTCTTTACCATTCTGCAGGTGTTCATGCTTTTGATAATCTACTGAATGAGAGGCCACATAACTGTTGCTGCCCCCCTCAGACTTTCCCATGCTGCTCTTATTAAATAAAAATTTAGGGGGCACCAGGTGGCTCACTTGTTTAAGCATCCAACTCTTGATTTCAGCTCAGGTCATGATCTTACAGATGTGAGACTGAGCCTCGAGTGGGGCTCCGCGCTGAGCAGGGGGTCTGCTTGAGATTCTCTCTCTCCCTCTCTCTCTGTCTCTCCCCCTGCTCATTTTTCTCTCCAAATAAACAAACAATTTAAAAATATATAAAATAAAAATTAGACGGAAATTTTTTTAGGTTTAGTTATTTTGAATGAGACAGACAGCATGAGTAGGGAAGGGACAGAGAGAGAGTGTGTGTGAGAGAAGAGAGAGAGAATCCCAAGCAGGCTCCACACTATCAGCATGGAGCCCAACTCCAGCTTGAACTCCTGAACCATTACAGCTGAAATCAAGAGTCAGTGGTTCAATCGACTGGGCCACCCAAGTGCTCCTTCAGAGGAAATCTGTAAAGGATAATTTTTTTAATCTATCCTAGATCATTTTAAATTTACTCCATGTGAGTATTTCAGCATTCTTAGTTAGAAAACACTGCTACCTGGTAGCATGTGTGAAGATATGCGAATACTCTATAAAAGAACCAGAAAAAGAAACCAGCAAAATATCCCTGGTCTTAGAAGGATTGCATATTATTAACCCTATATTTGATTTGGACTAATACTACATCTTCTAGTCCTCAACAGCTTTTGGGAAGCCTGCTTAAATTCTAAAGCAGTTAACTATGTGAATCTGTTAACAGGAGACAGAAAGTGAAAGGAAAGGAAATGGAAACAAATTCAAGGTAGCAAATTTCTCTCTTAAATGAGAATTCCAATGTTTAAATGAAATACATGAGAAGCTAAAGTGTCGTTAAAATTTCAAAGTCATTCTATATTTTAAGAAGCCAACGAGACAGAAAACATTTTTAAAAATTTTTATACCATTTCTAACATAGGACCATGCAATCGTCTAACTAAAGGACACTTACAAGAGTTTTCTGATGAATGGTTCACCAACAGCTGTTATTATAAAAGAGTTTTCCCCAAAAAAGGATTAAGGAAATGGCAGAGAGTATGTTCATGGATGGGTTGGTTCAGGATTCTCCCTGGAAAATGCGAACATCAAGCTACAAACTACAGCATAGCAATCAGACAGTGTATTCAAAGGAAACACAACCCATTTTTAATTTTAACAGAGTTGTAAAATTTCAAAAGCAGAACAGCTTATAGTATGAATTCAACATAATTAGAAGAATTTTAAAGAAAGTTCTTACTAACCAATTGACACTTAAGTAGAGAGAGTACTTTAAAGATTGGGGCAAATGACTTTCACTTCCTTTTTGGGAGGATACAGATATAGAAATAGATATATCCTTTTCTTCCAAAATATTACAATATTCCCTTCCTGGCTATTGAGGGGAGAAAGTGAGATATCTTAAAATCCCTAAGGAAAAGTAGTACGAAATCTTTTAAAACCGTGTTTTACTGAGCTCTTTTTAACCATAGGACAAAAACAAATAATGGATCAAATACAGCGAAATGGCAGTGTGTAAAAGTTCAAATACTGTCCAAACTTGATGTCACACACTCAAACCAACCAGTACCAAACAATCAACTTAAATGTATGAATCAAGCCAGGCTTGTTATGTAAGGAGTAGTGGGACTTGTTAGAAAATACATACTCCACCTAAACATATTAAAATTCAAATGAGAAAAAAAAAAAACCCACTGTAGATTCAAGAATGCCAATTTATAATATCTTTTTTAAACACTTTAGTTAAAAAAAAAAAAAAATTTCCCAACATATGTGCTTCTAATCTTAGTGTAAATGAGCAGGTAAATGAAAGCAATGAAAGTAAATCAAAAAATGTTAATAGAAACAAGCTCCTCAGCTAGGATTCCTAAGGGTACACAACAAGCACAAAGTAATTACAAATAGAGAATTACATTGTGTTAAGCAAAAACACAGCAAGCTGGTATCATTTTAGAGAGCTTTTAGAGAGCGAGAGAGGCAGGAAAACAACTACAAATTGAAAAAAGAAACAAACACCTACACCCAAAGCAGTTTTCCAAGCTGTCAACATGACAACTCTATATAAAAGTGAAAGTAAGGGTGCCTGGGTGGCTCAGTTGGTTGAGTGTCCAAATTGAGCTCAGGTCATAATCTCACCATCCCCAGAGTTCGAACCCTGCATCAGGCTTGCAGGTGGCAGCACAGAGCCCCTTTGGATCCTCGGTCCCCCTCTCTCTCTGCCCCTCCCCAGCTCATGCTCTCTCTCAAAAATGAATGAACATTTTAAAAAAGTGAAAGCAGACAGGAACCCATAATTTATTATGATGATCTTTAAAATTAATATTAGTTACCAAATACTTTTCATTTTTAATTAGATTTTCAAATAGATAAGAGCTCTTAACTTATACTGAAACCTTATGAATATTAGTTATCAAAAATATTATCACATTATTAACCAGCACTATAATTCCTTAAATTCTTTCTCGTATAAATTAACATGTACTTAACAGATCCAGACAAACATATAAATACAGATATACCAATAATTCAGTTTCCTCATTAAACAAAGCATTTAATTAAATTTGTATCAAATATATAAAATAAAATTTTCATATGTATAAACATGTTACCTCCTGGACATCCTCTGGATTTCTTCGTGAAACAACCTAAAACAAAACATACATAGAGATATCTCATCATTATCAAAATTTAAGATTTCACATTTGTATAATTACCTTCAACAGTATTTGTACAAAAAATTCAATTTGCTTAAAAGAAAAGAAATACCATATCTTATCAATTAACAAAGAACTCAGCTATATAATAACTTCACTATCTGAAATACAAGCTACAAAATTAAGAAAAAGGCAGCTAAAAAAACCCACACACTAATGTTCACGCATTACACTCACCAGAGAATGCTCTGGCTTCACTCTTAACTTGACATAATTCTAACAAGCTTATCTATCCCCCTTCCGAGCCTATATATAAGGTAAGAACAAAAAAACCAGCTGTACCCACACAAAGCATACAAGGGACAGCTCTGTATTACTTCTTATAACTGTATGTGAATCTACAATTAGCTCAATAAATAATTTCAATTTTTAAAAAAGCAGCCACAATGCCCAGACAGACCAGTATCTGTGAGAAGTGATCACTGACCACCTAACGATAAAGGAAAAAAAAAACAAAAGTAACTTACAAAAACTTATATACTGCATTTGGGGACAAATAATCCTTATCAATATCCCTGAGCAAAGAGAAAGAGGAAGGATTCTTTCATCCTTTTCTAATTATTTAAAAGCCAAAAAGTCTAACACCATTTAGAAAGATTTCCTCACAACAAGAACACTGCGTGTTTAAATCATCAAACGGCATTTGAGTGGGAAAATCTGACATTAGATACATAACACCACCTATGTAAATGTACAATTCATGAACTTGATGCTACAGTATGCATCTTGCAAAGACAAGAAGAAAACAAACACATTAAAACAGGTGCCTAGGGATGAGAGGAAGAAAACAATATTTGATGACTGGTGACAATACCATGAACTGAAGATGATGATCAACTCAACACTACTCCTGAGGTCCAAAACAAAAACTTTTAAAAATTATACCATTTAAAGTCAGAGAGGGGCACATGCGTGGCTCAGTCAGTTAAGCATCCAACTCACAGTTCTTGAGATCTAGCCCTGCAACCAGCTCTACACTGACAGATTCTCTCTCTCTCTCTCTCTCCTCTCTGTCTCTTTTTCTCTCTCTCCCTCTCCCTGTCTCCTCCCCTGCCCCTCTCATGCTCTCTCCAAATAAATAAATCAGCTTAAAAAAATAAAATAAAATGAACAAACTGAGCCTTCAGAACCAGACTCTTATAACAATGTTATATTAGCAATTATCTCAACAAGTAATATCAACTCTAAAAAATACTGTAAATTCTCTCTGGCATAGGTTGCTAACTAGCAGTTAGTAACTTTTTTCTGGGTGAATTTCAATATTTTGTCAGAAAATTCCATCAATAAACTCCATGGAAGATAGAATTTAAAGTGGTGATTTCTTCTGTTTAAAGTTCATAAACTTCCACTGCAAGCATTACCTATCACGGGTAAGATACTAGACATCATCTCGAAAAGCCTCTTGCTATGCAGACGTCTATCACCAAGTCATCTTCAAAATTATTATCCTGAAGCAGTGCTTCACAAACCATGCTGAAATATCAATATTCTTTAAAATCAGCACTCTTAAAGGAAGAGCTTAATGACCATTTCAGTTTACCTTTATTTAAAAAAGAAATGCTTTTTACAGCAGAATTTCTAAAGGCTTTTAATACATTGTTATGCCTAGTAAATCTCCAAAAGGAAAATACATAGTATCCTCAAGGTCATCTATCCACTCCACTTTTTATTCTTATCATGTTATTTGTTATTATTTTCTCTACTTAGTGCAACACCCACTAAATTTGGAATACAGCTGGGAAAAGCTACTGTAATCTCTGTAGTCTATCTAACCCTGTTAATGCCAACGGTAAATTCTGAATTTAAGAAAACAAATAAGGTCTTACAGTGAAGGTAACTATCTCCTACTGTGCTAAGAAATTAAATCCTTGACTTCATTTAATCATCGCAACAACCCTGCCTGGTAGGATGAGATAACCAAGCCCAAGAGCATTACTAATACTAAACATATTAATCAGATACAGGCAGGACTGGATCTCAGAGCTCAATGATTCCAAACAAAGTACTCCTTCCAGGACATAACCAAATCAGCGCTCCTAAAGGTTAAAATTCCACGTATGCAAGTAATACTCCTGATGTCTGTTGGGTAAATCCATTTTGTTTTTTACAGAGAAACGTTAAGTCGACCAAAAAACAGCAGCTGAAGAAGTGCTTTGGCAGAAGAGAAGGAGCTAAGGGGTTTGAACATAGGCTCTAGTACTAGCCATGATCTGCTTTTTTGCCAGTTGGGTAATAAAACCAAAGCAAAGGCAACCTTAAGATGAGTCCTCCTGCCTACCTTAAAAACAAAAACCTGAGTTTAGGGCTTGGCCTACCTCAGGACCACAATAATCAACAGATCATACAGTAATTAGTCCTCTGTAACCATTTCAGAGTGTTAACTTCTTTTATCTACTTTTTAATAAGTATTACCAAGTTTTCTTAAAAGTCAAGTCTAAAATACTCCTTTATCTAATTACCATCAAAATTAGGATTTGAAATACTCTCTTAACTCAGATCTACACAAAAGAACTGTCTCTTCAAGAGACTGAAAGATAGTTCCTAGAAACCAAAACTACAAAAATCATACAAATGTATTATATCTCCTACAAAAAAATGATCACAAAATAAGTCCCTTTAGAACCAAGTAGGAATGAGTTAAATGTAAATTTTAAGAAGCTACTTTTATGAGCAACTTATTACAGTCAAGTCTGATGGCTGTTCAAGTACTAGTTTGGTAATAGCAGAGCTAAGAAGATAAAGAATGTTACTTTTGTAACATTTGAAAACCAAGTGTCAAGATACAAATAATCAAACATGGGGGGGGGAAAAGAGAGAGAGAGAGGGACATGCCCACTCTCCATTTCTCAAAGATATGACTCTCCAAACGTAGAATGGGAATCACTGGATATACAAAAATGTAAGGCTACCCTGTAGTCAACATTTCCCATTGCAGCCATTAGGTAAACCAAATGGCACATTCATCAATGTAATGCACGCAATCCTGACTTTCAGAGATTTGAGTTTCATAAAACTCATACCGTCTATAAACATACTGACACCTTGAAACTGCATTTCATACACACAAGCACACACACATACACACCTCTCTGGCAGGAAGAGCGGGGACCTCCAAATGCCCAGCGCATGCAGGCAAGTGTCCTCTTACCAAACTCAACCTTCCCTCCCACCCGCCCCCTGCATCTCAGCTCCTCTCTCCCTCTTTTCCCCGCAGAGCTGCAGGTGCCACCGGTTGGCAAGAATATTTGGGTTGGGTAATCACCCACCAGCCAGGTAGTCTGGACCCAAGAGACAGCACCTGCACAAACCATAATGAGACATTTTACGACACTGTTTAGTTCTCTGGAATGAAAGAACTCCCTTACGTGATAGAGAAGTCAATGGGGAAAAAATTTAGGCATACCACTTTCTAACAAGTTTTTACGAAAGTAATATGTTGAAAGGAATTATTGCTTTCTAGACATCATTAAAATCCCAAAATCTAAAAAGAGAATAAAGAAACTAAAACAGCAAGTTACCTTTGGATACTCCATAAATGTTAAAGTTGTTTTTCTCACTTCAAATTTTACCAATTATTATAGCACCACTTTAAGGTAAACTTTCCAATCAAAGTTCAAGGAAAATCAAAACCCTTACTGTTAAAGTTTGCAGTTTAACATAAAATCTTAATGGAACTCAAGTGCCCAGGCATACAAGTTGTCAATAAACAAAATGAAAACAGAATTTTAAAACCTGCTTACTAAAGTTTTTGGTATGTGAGGTAGTTTTCTACTAAACAATATTAAGAGTCAAAAACAAAGATAGAATAAAACATTATTCTAGGAAAAAACTGAACAACTTTAGAGCCATGAGTTTTCAAATTTTCTAATCATGAGTACATATTTCAAAAAAAATTTTAATTTTTTAATAATACATTTTTCAATAAATTAATCTCTCCCTACGCCCATGACTACTCCATTAGCTGAAAATATTTCCAGAGTAAGCCAACACCAATTATTTCTTCAAGAAACCTTCATGGAGCTACTGATTTAACAACTGGTAACAAGTGGTAATTCTCACCACCTTAAACACTAGACATTTGTAATAATGTAAACAGTTAAGGGGTTAAATTTAGTAGGCTTGTATTTCCTTATAGTGACTTAAGATATTACTTGAAATGTTTATGAATATGAATTACTTTCAAAATAAAAAGCTAGCAAAACCAAGAATTAAATATGCTGCCTTCTAGGGGTGCCTGGGTGGCTCAGTTGGTTAAGCGTCCGACTTCAGCTCAGGTCATGATCTCACGGTTCATGGGTTCAAGCCCTGTGTCGGGCTCTGTGCTGACAGCTAGCTCAGAGCCTGGAGCCTGTTTCAGATGCTGTGTCTCCCTCTCTCTCCGACCCTCCCCTGATCATGCTATTTCTCTCTTAGAAATAAATAAAACAGGGGCGCCCGGGTGGCTCAGTCGGTTAAGCGTCCAACTTCAGCTCAGGTCATGATCTCACGGTTAGTGGGTTCGAGCCCTATGTCGGGCTCTATGCTAACAGCTAGCTCAGAGCCTGGAGCTGCTTCAGATTCTGTGTCTCCCTCTCTCTCTCTGATCCTCCCCTGCTTACACTGTGTCTCTCTCTCTCTCAGAAATAAATAAAAAACATTAAAAAAAGAAAGAAAAAAATTTTTAAAAATAATAAAAATAAATAGATAAATATGCTGCCTTCCAAATACAAAAACTCCTAATGCTTTCCAAGATCAGGAACAAAGGAAGGATGTCCACTCTCACCACTCCTATTCAACCTACTACTACAAGTCCTTGCAAGAACAATAAGACAAGAAAAAGAAATAAAAGACATACAGACTAGAAAGAAGAGATATGTTTTACCACACATGCATTGTCTATGTAGGAAAAAATGAAAACTCTACCAAACTAATAAGTAATTAAACTAATAAGT